GGACAAACCTTCTAGTCTGGGATTCCCCAAGTCCTAGTTCTGACCACTTGCCTACCTGTAGACAAGTATCAAAAAGAAACTCTGTCTCATTTTAGTTAATATTCTGATGGACTTTTGTGTTCTCTTAATAGCTGCCATTAACCTAGCAAAGCTGAAGCTTTTCAGACACTACTATGTCATGGTAAGTCAAACACCTGTGTGCATGCGTACAGAGCGCTTAGAAGCTGCTAAAGCCTTTTGATGGATTACTTGTTGGAAGCTACTATAGCTGGTGGATGTGGTGGAGATGTTCCTAATTCTGTGGCAGTGCTGTGCTTTGGCACTTTGGTCAACTGGGTTGCAATCCTCAAAGCAACTTACCTCGTTTTCCTAGTGGTTGCACCTTTCTGCCTATCTTTAAATTGATTTTAGCTATTTGTAACACTTACTGGTTTCCTCTGGAGACAGCTTGAGCTGCCAGTTGAATTGATAGACTTGAATAACGTACTGTAAACTTACTAAAAATTAAACTTGGGACCAAATGGTGCCTTGAGATGCATGTGTGCAGTTTCTGATTAAGTTAGTGGGAGCCAAGAGCCTACCTCCCAAGAGAGCATAGGCTTCTTAATGATTTCCAGCGGCCTCATTTCAGACTCTTATAAGTGGTAAGAGTAATACATTGCAATCATGATTCTTCAAGTTCTACAGAATCCTAATATTTAAAACATTTTGTGCTGTAACTTAAATATGTTAGCAGTAGCTTGAATAATTTGGATGTTCAACAAGCAGTAGAGCCCTCAGACTGTATCTTCCATGTTTATTGAGGAACATAACAAGGCTAGTCTGATATAATGAGTTGTCTGGGAATTGCTTGAACTATTTCTCTGGAAAAAGAGGTTCTGTAAGGATGGTGCTATTGTTCTCATCATGTTTTCTCCTTTTCCTTCCCAGATTGTGTGTTACATTTACTTCACACGGATCATTGCAATTCTCATAAAGATTGCTGTTCCATTCCAGTGGAAGTGGCTGTACCAGGTATTTGCCAGCAGAGGAAAATACATCCATTCCTTTATATTTTTTTCTTATTACTCTTATTAAATATAACCGCACCAAAATAAAAATTCCATAAATTGTTCCTCTTGCTATAGTAGAACATCTCAAAGCATGGTACTGTCACCTGTCTCCTCCTGATTTTTATTACTGATATGCCTAAGGTGGCAGGAATATATTTTTAGTTTTATGTTTGTCCAGCAAGGCTCCTGGATTATACATGAGATGTCTGAAAGTAATTGCATTATTGATTTACAGACTTTCAATTTAAAAATGTATGAAGGAAATTAATCAAGAACATACAAAGGAGAAAAAAATTAGTCAGGTTTGCCCTGTGTAATTGAGGCCCTGGGGAGCCAGTGAAATAGGCTTTATTTGCCTAGTGACTTTTAAGTACTTGGTTTCTTAACATATAATCCAAGTAACTGTGCAGGGAGTCTTTGGAATACATTAACTGTTGAAAATACCAAACAACCTAGGGATGATTTCCTGGCCTTGACCCCCCAATTTAAAAGCCAAGTCTTGACATAGTTATTTAAAAGCACTGGAGTGATGGCTAGAACTGTAACTGTATTTAAAGTGACAGGGAAAGCTGAAGGAACAAAGGGCTTGACAGCCTTTAGCCTGGGATTAATGATAACAGGACAGGAATTGCTTTATTTCTGCTGTGGCACAGTCTTCTTTGCCATTAAACCTTGAACCTTATGTATGAGGAGAAATGTTTCACGACCATGAAGGATTACAGGACTGAACTTCAATCTTGTATTTTTCACTTGCAGCTGCTGGATGAAATGGCCACACTTGTGTTCTTTGTCCTCACTGGGTACAAGTTCCGTCCAGCGTCAGACAACCCTTATCTACAGCTTTCTCAAGACGATGAGGATGACTTGGAGATGGAAGCTGTGTAAGAACCCCTTTCCCCCTTTTTTTTTTTTACCTCTTCACTTGATTTGAAAAAATGTAATGTTTAAAACTAGTTTACTTTAATCTCTTTCAATCCTTCTTTGAAAAAGATTAGAATCTTCCCACACCTTTAAAGATAAGGTGTCTATTTGGTGTGTGTTAAACCACCAAAGAGATTTGCGATACACGCAGGAGCCTCTGAGCTGGATATTGCAGTAGTGTGGAATAAGCTGGTAAAACTTTTCATGAGGCAAAAAGATGCCCATGGAAATATAACGTAAAAAAGCTTCTGTGTTTAGTCTGTGTTGCTGAACACCAGTGAGCCTTACAGACTGTCATTAATGCTTTGTATTTTAATTAAAAAAACAAACTACCAGTCTACAGAACATAAATCATGTTACGGTCCCTTCTACCATGACATTCAGCCTATAGCTTTGCAAAAATTTATTTTAAGTAACACTGAGCTGAGGAGATGGATTTTTACCAATACCCTTCCCTGTTGATTTTTACCAGTACTCTTCCTTGTTTTATTCCTTGCTGTTGAACCATGAGGCCTGGCAAATGCAGTAGGACCTGAGTTAGTCTGGAGAAAGTAGGACTTGGCTTAACTCACTGTCATTTTCTTTACAGTGGTTTTCTGAGGACTTAAAAAATGAGTGGCATTTCCAAATCTATAATAGAAACCACCTTAAGAAATGCAGCATGCTAGAAATGTTGAATACAGCTATAATTGCTGCAAACTCTGAGTTAGTAGGAGCAGAGCTAACCTAATCTCTTTGGTAGTTACACACTTCATGCATAATTGCAATTTGTGTGCAAGTTCAGAAGCCTGTTCCTAAAAACTTTTCCAGTTTGGCAAAACTCCTGTACCCGATCCTGGATGCAAACAAATATACACTCTAATTTTTATTATGGGGACAAAAAAATTCAGAATGTGTTTGTCCTCATAGTTGGCTCAGAAAGAAACTGATATTGGGAAATTGCTACAAGGAGGTTTGAGGTAGAATCCAGCCTGAAATGTCATGCAAGGAGTTTAATTTCTCAGAAATATCTCTAATAATAAAGATCTTTCCAAATGCTTCGCTATTTTTGCTTTGGGTCCATAAAATTTGTCATTGTTGCAAGTGGAATCCAACTAGTGGGTAGTGACCTTAAAATCACTATAACTTAAAGCTGTTTAAATGGTTTATGTCAAAAACTGGTTTCAGTTGGGAAGATGGTAAATAAAATCCACATCAGGAGTGCACTGTCTGAACTGGAAGATGTGTCAGGATTTGTGATTGTACAGAAACAAGCTTTTTCCCCTTTTTCCTGTTAAAATGAATTCCAACTTCACATTACATGCTTAGCAAGTTATTACTTGATTATTTTTTTTTTAGGACTAATGGCACCTTTCATATTTAATGATTTCAGTAAATTGGAGAAGCTGCTAACTTTAGGAGAATATGCCAGAAATAAGCTGGGGAAGGTTTAATGAACTAATTACGTGATTTACATCTCGCCATAGTGAAATAAACATTACACAGACTAGTGGATCAGAATTCCTTGTGAGCCTTTTCCTAGTTGAGGCATTTTGCTCTTTGCCTTAAGAGTTTCTATTGTTATGCCTTGTGGGTTTGTTCCCCTTAACCTTGCTTGAATTTTTCTCAACTGATTCACCAGAAGTTTTACTCCAATTGGGCACTTGGCAGGGTGTAATCTGTCAGAGGGTCTTGTTCTTCCTTCCCCAGCTGCATCAGGGAGGTTAAGTTTGCACCTACTTGAAAAGCATGGTGTATTATACCCTTTCATTGTGGTGCTTCACCTGTCACAGAAAGTGTATTAAATTTCTTGTTGATTTGGTCTTGCTGGTCATATTTCTGCTTTTATAACTATTAAATGTTGTTTCTGTGGGGGGAAAATATCAAGGCTTATTTGAGCAAGTGACTAAGTGCCTGACAGCATCCTGACTAACCATTGTGTGAATGTGTTTTGTCCTTCATGTGATAAATACCCTCTTGTCTTCAGAGGCTATGGCAGGAGTTAAAAGCCTACAAACTTCAAACTTCATCGTGTTCTGCCATGTCTCTTTGCCAGGTTTTATGGTTGTTTTCCTGTCCCAGAGGATTTTTGTTAAAATCAGGCTCTTTAAAACATTTGCTGCAGAAGCATTCAGTTTTAGACTGAACATTTCTATGAGCCAACAGAGGGGAGAGCCATGAGGTCACCAAGCCTACTTTCCAGACTTGCTTGTCTTCCAGTGAAAAATGGGACATTTTAAGTGCAGCTCTCTAGTTTATGCCTGTTTTCATGCAGTGCAAGTTCAGTCTGGCAGTAAATGTAAATATTGCTAAGGACAGTTTGGAAATCTGTGAAGTTTCAAGAAAAATCCAAAGACTAGGTGACTGTGACAGAAGCAACATAAGGCACAAATCCTCCCTCTGTAAATCCTTGTAACTCTCAAAAATAAAATGTAAATCAAGGACAGCAAAGGTAACTTGTAAGAAGTCTTTTCAACTAACATGCCTCTGTCTTGAGAGACAGCATCCAAAAATGTTCCAGGACTTTCTCTTCAGTTATACCGGACTCAATAGAAGTTGTCCTGGTGGAGAGGAGAGTGTGACTAAACCTGCACTAGGGACCAGTCTGTTCTTTTTCAAGAAGGGTCGATAGCCATTCATCATCAACAAAGTGGCTTTCTGTGTATTCTGTGCTGGACAGCCTCTTGAGCCCGTTCTGTCAGTATGTGGCCTTGTCACTGACAGTTTATTAGATTAAAGTACTCTACTTGAAAAGGTGCAGCCACACTTGGCAGAAAGAGTTGTCAGGCTTCCAGTCCTAATGCCATTCTGGGGCATGAACACAAAAATATGAGCAGTACGGTAGATGAGGTGGGGTGAGGAAAGGGAAAGGAAGCAGTTTTGTTTTGTTTTCTCTTGCAGTAAGTTATTTAATTAGCTCTGTAAGTTTGCTTTAAATGTTAGGTACCAAAGTGTTCTTCTAGAGATCTTGGTTGAGAATGATGTTCATGCGTGCGTGTGGGGTTAAGATAGTTCCACTGCAGGAGGAACTGCAGGAAAAGCCGTTAATGGTTTTGTTCTCAATTCAGTAAATCCATCTTACTGAGTGCATGGAAACTTGATTTTGTTTTTTCCTTAACACCCAAAACAGCTTCAACATAGTGAACTGTTGTGGTAACACTGACCTACCTTTTGCTCATGCCTTGGGATCTGGAGTTTCTCACTGTATCATGAGGCAGCTTATTCTGTGCTGAGATTTGAAGTCCTGGTTGGTTGCTTTTCCCTGCTTTCTCTCAGGTTGTGCTTCACGGCAGACTGATTCATGATGCTCTTCATTAGAAGTGATTTTCTTCCCCTTAATGCATCTTTCCCACGCAGAGATCAACTTTTTCGCTCAATGGCTGATCAGTTTTCACTCCAGTTTGCAAGAGCTTGTAAAGGCTGACTGCTGCCAGTATCGCAGTGTGTCTTGTTGGAACAGTAAAACAAAAAACAGGAGAAAAGAGAACTGAGATCCACCACTGTGGAGAGCTGAAAATGCTTTGGAATGCTTCGCCATCTCTTGATACCTTGGATACAATGTGGGGGGAGGTTGGGGTGTGAAAACTTCAGTTTCTGTGCCAGTGTAGTGTTTGGGGAACTCCTTTTGTGTCTCGTTTGTGACAGGTATCCCTCTGACAGCCACAACAACTCTGTCTGGAGAGAGATGGTGAGAATTGCAGTGTGCTTGGTCTCAGTGCTGATACCCTTATTTGACTGGGCACTGAAACATGTTGGCTAAACTGATTTTGAGAGGGAGAGGAATTGCCCATTGTGTACAAACAATCTGAGAAAATGAAGACTCAAGAGCTGTGTCATCTACTTGTTATGGGACAAGAACAGTGCTCATCAGATAGTCTTTGACTTTCACTGTTGAGGAATTCACTCCGAAATCTCTGTTCTTTGCTATCGTTGCAGGGCAGGGACAGTAAATAACCTCTCTGGTAACAAATGACATGACTTGTTCTGGTTGCAATGTCACTGTGTAGCTGTTTGTCCTTTCCCTCCGTGAAAATGGATCATTTCCTCTTAGCCATAACCTCTGATCATTTTTTGTCATTGTCTTGGTGTATAATGAGTTTGTAATTGTATTAAAGTGCAGTGCTAAAATCTGGACCACATGCTAAGTGGGATCTTCCTAGCTGTGAGTCAAGTGTTAGGACTACTTTGGTGTTGTGCATGTGCAGAACACCTATTTATGTATCCCATTGTGTCTGCTGTGGCATTGCTATGTTAGCGGCTCGTTTTTGGTTTGTAGTCCACTGTAATCATCAGCTCCTCCCTGAAGAACTGATACTTAACTGCTTACTCTGTAATTACCAAGTTGATTATTTCTGAAGAGTAAACTTAGTAAGTGTCTTGCTGCATTGTCCCATATTTTTCAGACCATTACTTTGATTTGCCACAATCCTTCTGCATTCTAGCCCTGTTCTCAAATGTGTAGCTCTTAGTGTCTTCTGCAGATTTAATAAGCAAGTTCCCTATTCCATTACCCAGGCAATTACTGAAAACACTGAGTAGAAGTGAACCCAGGACAGACCTCTCTGGAACCACACTCAGTGTTCTTTCATTTTTGACAGGAAACCATTAAGTACATCTCAATGCATGCTTTTCCAATTAGTTATGCATCTACTTTGATGGTTTTGTGTAGCTCATATTTCCCCAGTTTTTTTCCCTCTGTGACTGTGGGGAAAACCTTTGTCAACAGGGAGAACTTACGAGATCTACATGTTCTTTGTAATGTGATTTCTTCCAGGCAAGTGTTTACCAATTCCATCTTTCTCCTTTAAGCAACCTGCTTGATTTTCTTTTCTCTTTTTTTTTTTCCAATTTCAATAGGGAATCAAGTTGCTATTTGATCTGTACTCTTCTGACCCTTTCCCTGTTCCCTTAAACACAAGCTCTTCTAGGCCTACTCTAAAGGGTCTGAACCACTGACAATCCCAGTACTGCAGCCACTGGAGAGACACTGAATACACCATTTTGAGTAAATTATTTTTACAGTACATGAACAGAAGCTGATGCCTAATGTGGAACTAAAAGAAGAGCATCTATCAGAAGAGCATATCTGAAGATTATTTCTCCTCTTGGGTGATAGTGTGAAAATGTTGTTAGCTAGTCTGATCAAATAAAGTATTCTTACATGGTAAACAGCAGATGAAAGCACACAAAGACTGACAGCGGCATCTTTGAACAGGACAGGTTTATGTATGCTTCCAGGCATCCCTTGTGAATGCATTGAGCTATTGGCACTCTTACTTTCAGCATCCAAAATAACCTTTATAGCACATTTGTGGGGGAAAAAAAAAATACCTGTATGGAATGAGAGTCATATTGTGCAAAAGAATAAAGCGAATGTCTTGTGCATGCGAACAACCTGTTTTGCATAGCACCAGAGAAAGCTACTGGGCTGAAGAGCTTGTGGGGTAGCCAAGGTAGTGCTGGGCGCAGTGGTGCTGTTCTGGCTGGATAAACACTTCAGTCTGCCTAATGTTTGAATGGTATTATGAGGCTTTATAGTTCAATGGTCAGATTGCCATGACAAATCCAGACTTGGATGACCTCTCTCTTTGGTTTTGTTGCTGCTCATAGAGTAATTTTGCTATTAACAGGAGTTGGTGTGCGTTGAACTAGTAAGATTCATTTGGGGCACTGTCCACTGTGTGTGCATTTGTATAATATGTTGTACCTATTAAAAGCATTGCAAATGCAGAAGAAAGTATTTAGTTCACAGAATTAAGGGTGTTCAGCTGTATAGCAAAATGTTTTTTAAGCAAGCTGCTCAAACTTTAGCAAATAAACACCCCTTTTAACCATTTAACCATCCTTGCTATCATCTTTGAAGTATGAGCAAATATTATTTGCTCATTTAGTTTAATGATAGATGAGGAGAGCCTTGAGACTCTCGGGTACAACAGCCTTGCTTCCACCACCCATCGGTGTTGTGTCCAGGGTGATACTTGGCCTGCAAATGGTAGCAACAGGAAAGGCCAAACACTGAGACTGCTGGGTCTTGCTAGAGAGACACTGGTGAAGTGTGATTTGATACATCTAGGAAATTGAACCTGGGGTATGGGTGAAATGGTTGTTACAGTTCAAGTTCTGTTTTCTGATGTTTCTCCCTTCTGTTCCAGGGTGACGACTTCTGGAGTAATGGAGGGCATGAAGAAGGTCAAGAAAGTGGTGAATGGTTTAGCAGAGCCACGAGGCGAGTGGGAAAGCACAGCATGATGGACTGGACTAAGGCAGCACTTTCAGAGAAACTTTTTTTAATTTATTAATATTACTCTCAGTGGCAAGGGAGCAACTAGCACTTCCCAACACTGAAATTGCGGAGTGGGGTGTGTCTAGGGGGAGCAAAGCGGTGCAGAAATGTAACTATTCCTCTGGTCGTGAGAAAATGGGATCTCTTGGTACCTGCAAGGAGTGTGAAGCTTTCCTAGGGATTTTGGGTAGCTTATTCTTTTTTTCCCCTTTCTGGATCAGTTAGGTATTCTGAATTGTTTGCAGCTGCATTCTTCAGAATGTGTAATACTAATGTGAAGAGAGACTTTTAGTGTGTATGTAAAGTATATATTTTATATAACGCTCATATATATATATACACACACTTGCTATGTAACATGTATACTGGGAATTACAAAGTGTGTCAGAAGGTGCAAAAAGAAGGTAAGATGTAAGTATTCTTTCTTTTCTTTTTATAAACTCTCCTTTTTAGCTTGGACAAAACAAATGAACAGAAACAACTGCAGTTATTTGAGAGACTAAATGAGGTGTTGGATCAGATTAATTCTGCCACTACTCACATCAGTAGGAAAGTTGATAAGTATCTTCTTGTTTTATCCATGCAGGTATCCACTTGGATGTGTCAGGTTTTCAAATACATTGCTATACAGGAAGCAAGTGACTGCTCTCCATTAAGAGCACTAGCCCATAGTGCAGTAGGCATTAATGCAAGTTCTCCACGTTCTTGGAGTTGATCTTGCTTCATACGCACCTGACAAGAAGTACACAAGAGGTGTAAGACTGATGCTTGCTTTTTAGGGGTCTGCCATGCCATCTTAAACATTTAATTCCAAGCTGTGACCCAGAGCACTTTGATCTGATTTATAAAATGTTTTCAAGGTATTTCAAAAGACACTCCTTTCTGGCACAAACAGGACTGGAATCTCCAGTGGAAACCCGTCTAGTAAATGTACTGCAGCCTGAATCTCTGGTTCACCATTATCCTGAGTTACTTAGCCTCTCTGGATGGCTACTTGTACCTCTCTGGCTCTGTAGGATTAATGATACTGCTGTTTTGAGATGAGCTGAACTGGTCAAAATGGTATTACCACCAAAACCAGCCAACTGCAGCTCCCAGAACCTCAATGCAGGGGAATACGGAAGTGTTAACCGTTAGCTGCAAACTTGCAGTGGAGTCTCTGGAGACATGTTACAAATGCCATGTGCATTTTATCTGTAGTGCTTTGGTATCGTTAGTAAGGCAAGCTGCTGTCTGTAGCTTTAGTAGTAAGGCATAGCAAATGATTGTTAATTTGGGGGAGGATGGAAGTGGTTCACTGATGTAATGAGGGTAACCTTTAAGAAAAATAAATCAAGTATAAATCACTGACCCACTGAAGCCTTAATATTCACATAGAGACATTGACATATGGTGCTGTTGAGCAAAGTGCTTCCATCAGGGTGACAGGGATAAGCATCATTGCAGAGCTCCGCATGTGCCAGCATCTTTTACAAAATCATTTAGGATTTTTTTAATTTTTATTTTTTTTACTGAATGGACCACATCTCTGGGGTGCAACTGATTAGAAGAGTATTAGCCACTAGGTTTTTGGGTTTTTTTCTTTAGAAAGAGCATTTTCTTTGGTATGTTGAACCACTTCTTCCTCAGTCTTGAACAGGGATTGTAAACCTCTGAAAGGAGTTTGAAGAGCAGCATTGTTTTCTCCAGTTGCCACTTCTTTTCCCAGATGTTGGTTCTGTATATCATGGAAGTGGCAGAAATGAATCTACCTGATACCTGGAACTGGTTTCTCTTCAGATACAGCACAAGAATAGCTCTTTTCTCTTGGTACAAGTCCTCTTCTGTGTTTTCCTCCTCAGCTGTAACTGCACAGTAATTGCAGCAGTGATGGTTTGACTTTTACTGTCATTGTCTTGCAAAGATACAGTGTTTAAGGAAACAGAGAGCCTGCACCACTAGAAAGTCTGTTAGGTGACCTGTGAGCCTTTTAGACCTTCTCTATGAAGAGATCCTCTGCATATTAAGTAGCTGAGGTGTGAGAAATTGGACTATAAACAAACATAGGCAGTCCCAGCTCATCATACACTTAAATACAATACCTGAAAATCTCCTCCTCTGCACAGTTATTCTGTGCCTGTGGAGCTGTCACTACCTGCATCCAAAGGGCTACTCAGACAGGCTGTAAGCTTTGTTCCTAGTAGTCTGCTGGAGACTTGAAGTCTGTTGGCACTGAAGTATGTCAGGGACAAGGATTTGCTGTCGGGAACAGAAGTAACACAACAGTGTTAATCCAGACATGATGCTGTCTTAGAACCTGTTAATACCTTTTGCAAATGAGATGTGAAATTCTGGTGGGTGTGGCATTTCACCCAAAAAACATGAGAGGCTGTGCTGGGATCCCAGCATGGGCTGAGCTGGTTCCAAGCAGCTGCCTATTCCATACCTCAGCATCAGTGGAGCTGCTGAGTTGGTGAGTGCTTTTACCTTAAGTCTCAGGTTTCTTTTTTTTATATGCACTTTTTTTTGCTAAAGTGGTGTATGGTGTAGGTTTATCTGCCAAGTCCCTGGCTCACTGGTCTAGTCAAAGGCCAAAAAATGGGTGATTTCTTTTTGTCTTGGCATGAAAAGCCATGACAGTACTCTGAAAGTGTTTTCAGAAGAGCTTTTTTCCAAGTTCAGACCAGAGCTTCAGCAGTTAGCTATATAACCAACTTCAGCTGTCACTTAATGCAGATGCTAACCAGCAGTACAACAGTAATTAGCCAGATCCAAGCATTCAGCAAGAAAAATTAATGTGGAGGTACAAGTCAAAAACCAGAGTGATAGAAGGTTCTCACTGCAGCCATTTCCAAAGTGAATTTCTACTTTCTCTGGAATTCCTTGGAGGAGGTTGAAAAATTTGTCCTGCAGGGTTGTCTGATGGGTTGGACAGTGGCTGGGATGCTGGAGGATGGAGAGGGTGACTGCAGCACAGTGTGTGCTGCACTGCAAAGCATCAAAGGGAGGGCTACTCCCTCCCCCTTCCTCCCAAGGCGAACCCACATATGCATGACTGGCAAATGCAGGACTCTCTTCCTAGTGAAAAGCAGCAGCTTAGAGCTCACCCGGCAGGATAATCACAACGCTTGCCTTTCAGGTGTTGATGGCTGTCTGTCTGGTGGGAAGCTCTGTCTTTCACAAGGAGGGGAAATGGAAGAGCTGCTTGTGGCTTACAGATTTCTGGGATACAGCCTTAAACTTCCCTATCTCTGCCTTTTACTGAAGTGAGCAATGAAAAGGATCACCCTGTGAGTACACAGCAGTGCAATGACAGGAGTCCTGGAAAGGCAGGTCTGGTGCAATTCAGAACAAAGGTTGTGGATGTGCTCAGGTCTGTTGCTGCAGTGGAGTACTTGGCACCCTCTGCAGACAAAAATGCGATCGGTTCAGGCTTCGGTTGTAATGCAGGTTATGCCCCAATAAATCCCTATTGATGATGACATGCAAATGCCACTGCTGCTCTCCTTCCTGCTGGAACTGTTCAGCAAGCTGTCTTCCATAGGAAACCTCCTTGCAGTGCAATTGCCAGACTCTTGCATTCTTCAGGCTTGAAAGTGTTTTCCTTGATGCTTCATCAAGAGATGTACTAAAAGAAAGACAGACATAATGGGGTCATCTGGAACGCTGCTGCTGCTTGCTCAAACTGTAGCAGTTTGAGTTGAAGAAGCCACACACTGTCCTTTTAAGATGCTCTTTCATGTTGTCATCTAACTCAGCATGTCATGATCTGTGCTGTGCATTGTTCAGTGTTTCTCTCCAGCTGAGTGCCCTGTTCCTGGATTTCCACGCTGGCATACCCTGGGAGCATGTTGTAAAAATCTGCTGCATTGCAGTATTTTGTCTTGGAGCTAGTAACGTGGAAGATATATTTTTCTAAGCTAAGTGGACTCTCTAGCATGAGTGTGCATCCACCATGTATCCTTAAGCACTGTAACATTCTTTCTGGCCAGGACAGGGCATGTCCTAATCACTCCAGTGTGCACATTTGGTGAAAGTCCAGTGGAACATTTTTAGCACGTTAAGTCTTTTATTCATTACAGTATACTCCTCTTGGAGAAGAGAAATGCAGTCTGGCCAGTGACAATCAAATTCACAAGAAAGAGGTTTTCTGTTGTCTCTGAAAATTGCCTGGCTGCATTTGAAGCAAATATTGGGTATTTGTATGTTCTGTTGACATCTGAGAACTAAAGTTGCTTAACTGTTAATAAAATAATTGGGTAGAAGTGCAGGTATTGAAGAGAAAGAAACCCTTTCTCCTTCAGTCTACCTGTCATGACACCTAAGAGATGATTATTAAAGCAAATTTCTTTTGTTAATTCTGTGTTATGACCTCCACTTCAGTTGTAAAATGTTTCCCCATTTTTCGCCTTGTAACAAGAGTGTAGAGTTGTGGTCTGCAGGAGCTGGAAGAAGGTGCAGTGATATTTGAAACATAATGGGACTTACACTATCTAAAACCTGTGACCTTGTGTGTGACTTCAGTAACCTGGATGTTTCCTGTAAACCGAGGTGGTGCTGCCCAGAGACACTTGACCCACGTTTCTTTGTGTTTCCTGGGACTGACTTGCTGGAAAACTTTGTTCTAAATTGGATTAATCTGGCTTTTCTTGTAGCCAGCGGGTACGATGCTGTTTCGGGCTTATTAATCGCTTTTAGTTAACAATATTTGGAAGCTGTGTATTTTTTTCCCCTTTGTAGTTTATCGCTTGGATATAACAATGATCCTGTAAGAACTCTGCACGATATGTACTTGCAAGTGGCTGGAACGGGATTTAAGAAAAACACTGAGATACTTACATGTAAAGTGATGGTAATGGAAGAAAGTGGCTGAGAAAAGAGTCACTCCTTGTAGGTTGACTGGCTCAAGAACCCATTTATATTTTGACTGCAGTGATCCTGTAGAAAGGACAATTCTTAATAAATATTTCCCTGTGGGATTTCACTCGGTGTTCTGCTCTCTGTGTAATAAAGTAGAGCCCGACCTCCACATTATCAGAAGCACTCTGTCTTGTAGCTAGGATACTGGAGTGTTGGGCTGGTACCTGTTCTGTCAAAACAGAGTATGGGTCTAAATAGCTTCCCTTTCCCTTTAGTAACTATTAATAATTAATTCTAGATCCTCTTGTATCATTAAGCAGCTTTAGGGCACCTTGTACAATGTAGCTCTGAATTCATTTAATAAATGACCTCCACAAGAACTCAAAAAGATTTTTCTGTACAGCAAAGGTCCGGTTCCAGAGTTTTTGGTGACCTGTAGATATCCTATTCCTCAGTTCATGTTCAGATGTACAAATGGATTTTTTTCAGTATTTTTTAAACTTTATTAAAAGAACAACAAAGGTTACTTGATGAGAAGCAAGGTAGATACAAATCGGGATGGTCTGTGTAACTTGGTTTCCCTGCTGTGATGCAAACATGTAAAATAAAGGTTGACCAGAAAGAAGTTGAATGCATCTCATTTTCTCCTTCTGAACTGCTAGGGAGAACGAGGAGATGGTGCTTTGAACCTTGGT